ACGTGGTACTGACGCAACCCACCCCTACGTGTTCCTGACGGAAACCACACCTACGTGGTCCTGACGGAAACCACCTCTACGTGGTCCTGACGCAACTTACCCCTACGTGGTCTTGAGGGAAACCACACCTACGTGGTTCTGACGGAAACCGCACCTACGTGGTCCTGACGGAAACCACACCTACGTAGTCCTGACTAAAACCAACCCTATGTCAAACTGACGGAAACCACCCCTACGTCACCCTGACGGAAACCACACCTACGTGGTCCTAACGGAAACCACCTCTACGTGGTCCTGACGCAACTTACCCCTACGTGGTCTTGAGGGAAACCACACCTACGTGGTCCTGACGGAAACCACACCTACGTGATCCTGACGTAACTCACCACTACGTGAACCTGACGTAACCTACCCCTACGTGATCCTGACGTAACCTACCCCAACCTGATCCTGACGTAACCCACCCCTACGTGATCCTGACGAAACCTATCCCAACTTGATCCTGACCTACCCTAATACCTACCCTAGTCTGATCCTGACGTAACCTAACCTAACCTAACCTAACCTAACCCAACCCAACCGCACCCAACCTGATCCAAATCATAATCCACAGGTATCCTTAAATCTTTAATAATAGCTATAACGATAACAATTATATTAACACTAGTAAGGATGTTTATTATAGTAATTTTAATTATAAGAATAATGGTAATAATAGTATTAATAATATTAATGATAGTAAGTGGTTATGTTAATTTTTTAAAATTGGATAGTAATGATAAAGACGTGCGGACAATAATAATAATAATAATAATAATAATAATAATAATAATAATAATAATAATAATAATAAAAATAATAATAATAATAATCTAACATTATCTGTTTCCGAACGTGGAATGAGACAGACATGTTCGTTTCTGCTCTCCAAATACATTTTATCTGTACGATGTGATAGAATATTCGAATTTTGTAATCATCCGATGAATAAAGTATCGAAATATCGAAGTATCGAGATATAAACTAATAAATTTTAATTTATAAAAAGAAAGTATACAGATATTAATATCGATTCGATGGAATAATGTAACGATACCATGAAATAATAAAAAGAATGAATCGAAAGAGAAAGGAAAGAAAACGATATTTAACATCTATAATTAAAACTTTCGATTACCCAATTCCTTTATTTTATTCCATTTTCGATTTACATTCGATATTATGCCACTTAAATTCTGTTTAATATTTTCTTTTGATTAAATATTCCAGTAATCATTTTTTTTATTCCATTCTTTTAAGTAAATAAAATCGTTATTTTCTAAATTCAATTTCTCTTTCCTTTATTTCTTAAATATCTCGGTTACCAATTTTTTTGCTTTTAGAAATCTTCAGAAATTATTCTTCCAATTATCTTTTTAAATAACAATTTTTCATGCATTCGTTTTATTAATCTGTTCTTGAAATAATAATTTCCATTTCAATTTTTCTTTTTTACTTCCCTCTCTCCTCCTCCCTCCCGTTTCTTTTAAATATTCTGATAATAAATGACTTCAATGTTTAATCTTTCTCTTTCTTTAAACTTTCCAAATATATCATTAATTCTTCAATCCTTATTAATTATAATTCATCGCTTTTTTAAATCTAGTCTTTTTTTCCTTAAATATTAAATTTAAAATTTCTGTCAATCTCCTATAAATCATAAATAATTTTTTTCGAAATTATATTTCTTTATTTCCTTTGATTGAAGAAAAAAAAGATATTTCTTTTTATTTACTACAGTCTTTTTCTTCTTTCTTCTTTTTACTTTTCGCTTATTTTTTTAATTAATGATACATGCCGACGCTTTTTTCATGTTACCGCTAGACACCCGATATCTTTCCACGCCGTTAAGCTGATATCTCGCTACGAGGGTAACCACAGTCCACACCCTGTACGCCTTAGCAAAAGCCGGTAAGAGAGATTCGATATAGCCCTCCCCGTCTATTCTTCGCGTCTCTCCTCAAAAATTCGTGTCCGGGAAACCCCCCGAATCGGAGAGAGTGGTCTCCTGGGTGAAAAACCCCCCCCTAAGACCAGATTGGAATCGATAAAAGGGAAGATCAAATATTCGTTCGATGCAAGGATAAAATAAAGGACAAAACGAATCGAATCAAAAAATAAAAAAAAGAAAAATTCTCTGAACGATAAATGAGATTTGCAAAAAAAAGGGGGAAGGGAATATAATAATTAAAATCATAAATAATACAAAACGAATAAGATAAATAAAACAAAAATTTCGAATCGTTCGATTCCTTTTAATTAATTTCATTTTCGATTTACGTATTTTTTTTTCTTTTTTTCTTATATTTCGAATATTGATATATCAAAAATTAAAATCGGGATATCGTTTAATCGTATTTATTATGTAAATTAAGTTTAAAAATATAAAAATTAGAAAAGGAAAAAAATGAATGATGAATTTGAATACGAAAAATAATCGTATAACGTATAAATACGTTTTTGAGAAAAAGAAAGTATTTACGATAATCGAAAAAAAAAGAGAAATAAAAAATAAAGAAATCGTATTTCGTAATCGTATTTATCTCGTTATCTTTTTTTCTTCGTTTCTCTTTGCCTGAAACAACGATAATATAACGTTAATTATAAACGATAATTTAGAATTTAAAAAAAATTAAAATTCTATCTTCCTTTGTCCCTTCTTAGTCTCGAACGTTGATATGAAAATATTATAATCCGTAATATAAACTGTATAATATAAGATATATATAAGATAATCCGTACAATGCAATTTTAAAAATTGATGATAATAATAATTACTGTCGAAATAAAAATTACTGTCGAAAATATTATCGATGAAATAAAAATTAATCCGTTAAATTTAAAAAAATAAATAAGTAAATAAATAAAAAAGAAAAAAACATTAAAATGCGATACCTATAAACTTAAAAACAAAAAAAAAACTCTATGATAACGATTAATAAAATAATAAAATGAAATAAAAATTAATATTTTTTCGAATATTATAGCGAACGTGAATTGCGGCGCGATGTCGCGTCGATCGTTATTGTATATGTATCGATTAAACGTAGTCGTTTTCCGAATACGAAGAGGAATGGACGTGTTCTTTTCTGTTCTTCGAACAAAGACTTTATCGCTATATAATATACTAAAATATTAAAGTGTAAATAATTGTTGAATAAATAAGATATCGAAGTGTAAAATTATAATTATAAATACGCAAAAATACGATAAAATGTTCGTCGAATATAAGGATATGATGAAATAAAGAACGAAACGAGTAAAAAAATAATCTTTTCGTCGATAAATGAGATTTAAAAAAGAAAAAGGAATATAATAATTAAAATCGATGAATAAAAAAAAATTTCGAATCGTTCGTTTCTTTTCTTTTATTTCATTTTCACTTTAAATATTTTTTTCCTTTTCTTTTTTCGAATATTTCGAATATTAAGATATCAAAAATTAAAATTAAAATATTATTATTTAATCGTATTAGTCGATAATTCGAATTTAAAAAATAAAAATTAAAAAAACGAATAGAACGTGAATGCAAAAAATAATCGAATAACGTAAAATATACGCTTTGTTTACTTGTTTATTCGTTACGCAATTTTCATTTTGTTTTTACTCTCGGAAGTCTCGTTAGACGTCTTATCTCTATGATACGCTCTATATCGATTATACACCCTTTCGCCACGTATCGAATATTCAAAAATTAATATTTGAACGTCACGATTCGCGAGAGATTGTTAAATGCGGTACCGTATAATCGTATTTGTTTCTTTCCTATACTATTTCATTCCGTTTAATACCATTAATAATTCCATTTAATAATTATCTAAAATGAGAATAAAGTGAATGATTCAAAAATTGTTGTTATAATTTTATTTATTTGCATTTACTTACTTTTTTACTACGGATAGATATTTAATTTGTTGATACTTTGAAATTTTTGCTACTAATACGTACGGAAAATTACCATAACGTCGATAAGTTATCGACTGAGATCGATATTACAGTAAATGATAGTGAAGCGATAATTAACCAGTTATTTTTCTTGATCGTTTATATTTTCTTCTTGTACGTTTTAGAAATTTATGATTTTTCAAAAACGTTTAAAAATATTGAAAGGAATCGTTGCATGAATCGTTAAATTAGAATTAGAATTTATTTTTTATTGAGAAATCTATATATCGTAACGAAATAGTGATTCGCAAAGTTATCGTTTCCTCCCGTAAGTTACGTTGTGCATTTTTTTTCTCGTCGCGTAGCAAAAATTATTATGATTATTATTTTAAAATTCATTCGATAAAATTCGATATTTTATTGAATCTTTTAAAATTCTAAAAATTTGATTGCAAAAAATTATTGATTAAATCGAATTGTTATTATTTATCGTTGTGTATCGAACTGTATCGAATACGATGTTGTTTGCTATTGGACGGTTTACGGAATAAAAAAAAAAAATTATAATATATATTAAAAGGAAAAGTCGAAAAATATTTTAAAAAAAGAAAAAGAACAAAAAACAAAAATATTACGGAGAATAATAAATAAAAGGAACGAAAAAAGAGAAAACGTTTTTCAAAGTATTGTGATACAGCCTTTTTTTTTAAAGGATATCTATTACTTATCGTTTTGTGTATATTCATAAGTAAGAGAGTAAGAAAAGTAGAATGGATATGGATGTAACTAAAGAAAATTTCCCTATAACTTTCACGAACACGCGTCAAAATTGTGAATAGAGCGGGATCTTTAAGTCGGTTGAGTGAGCAGACCGTAGTAAATTCGAGTACAATCGTTGGATGTAACCTGCTGGAAGGTTCAGTGATGCCGTATTGCGTGAAGCGTTTGGATTTCGAGTTGGAAAGAGAAAGGTCGAATCGCGCGTTATGGCTGACGAAATCGAACGGAAGTTGTTGGAACAGGTGAAGGAACAAGAAGAGCTTGTACGAAAACTCAAAGCTGCCAAAGCTAACGATGTTCAGGTATGATTGATTATTTATTTTTTTTCTTTACGGACAATTATTGTTCTTTTTTTTTTTTCACGAATTTCTTTATGCGACTCGAGCCTTCTGACGATACCTTCTGGTAAAACCGATGCTTTTTGCCTCCATGTGGATCTTTGTATTTGGGAATTATTCAAACGTTTATAGTTTTAATTATTATTCGTGACGAATAGTTTTTTTACGATCGATTTATCCTTAAATTTTTCGTTTTTATTTTTTTCTCGCGAATAAATGTATCTATTTCTTCTGTGATGAACGATATTTTCTAACTTTTGTCTGTACTTAACCTCTATCGGAGAGACTATGGTACATTCAGTTTCTATCCTTCAGGATTCAACGAATTTCTCGATCTTAGAAACGCAATTAGAGAGCATTAACCATGATTTTGCGGATGTCAGTTACGTGTGTGGTTGGATTCCTACCATAAAAGATACGAAATTTTTTGATTTTTGCGTCACTTTTATCGATGACCAACTACTCTCCAAGTGGCCACATTTGAAAAGATGGTTCACAAACGTTCAAAGCTTCGACCAAATTGAACGTAACACGTTTCTCGAGCCGAAAGGGTCGATTACCTCTTTGGTGAGAAAAGTTGATCGCTTAAGGAACCTCTGCCTCTTCGACAAAAATGTGATTGATTTAAAGGTGAGGCGGTTGTTCACTGGCAAGCAAAATACCTATAAATTATATAAATATATATATATATATATATATATATTATATATACACGTATATATATTTGATAAAATTGGTTTTGTTTCGACACATATTGCGTCGAATAACGTCTCTCTATGAAATTTTTTTGCTCGAGAAACGATATTCGATCTTGCATATTTGTAATAACAATATTGCGTGAACAATGTAATTTATAGCATTTGCTTGCTAGCTCACTTATATGGTACTCTTTGTTCTTTCGGCTAGTTTAATAATCAACATTGAGGCGGACTTTTCTCTTTGATTCTGGTTCTTCTTTTAAATCGATGGATCATTTGTGATGTTGTGTTCGATGTGGACCAACGCCTTCCTACCTGCACGAAAATATTGCCATGCATCGATGCTTTCGAGGCTAAAGGTATGACAAATTATATAGGAAATTTTCTTTGATGAACAGCGATAAAAAAAAAAGAAAGATCGTACTAAATACGTGTCCCATTTTAAATGATAATTCAAGATTTGTTTGTTAAATCTGCATTGATTGATTTTTATTGATTTTGTGTAGATTGCGGAGGAAGTTACCAAATTATCGGAGTTGAAAGCTCAATTGGGAAACAAGAATGAGATACCTTCCAAACTTGTTCTTAAAACGCCTAAAGGTACGAGGGATTATGGTCCTGAACAAATGGCGCTACGGCTTGCTGTATTGGATAAAATAGTTACGGTGTTCAAAAGACACGGTGCTGAAACTATAGATACTCCTGTATTTGAATTGAAAGTACGTAAGAATTGTAAATTATAAGTTGTAATTGTTAATTTTAAGTAAACGTTATTACTAATTTTTTAGGAAGTTTTGACGGAAAAATATGGAGAGGATTCAAAGCTGATCTACGATTTGAAGGATCAAGGTGGAGAAATTTTAGCTCTTAGATATGATTTAACCGTACCTTTTGCCAGGTACCTGGCTATGAGAAAAATCTCTTCCATAAAGAGATATCATATAGCAAAAGTTTATCGAAGGGACAATCCATCCACGACAAGGGGTAGATACAGGGAATTCTACCAATGTGTAAGTCTAACGATGTGAAATGTAAAACGCCGCGTATTGTCTTCTTATCGTCATTTTATCGAATTGAGAAATATGCCATTGATTTTTCTTTTCTTTTTCTTCTCGATCTAAGGATTTTGACATAGCTGGACAATATGATCCTATGATACCAGACGCGGAATGCATTCGCGTCATTTCTGAAGCGTTACAGTGTTTAAATGTAGGGCCTTATACGATCAAATTGAATCATAGATCGTTGTTGGATGGTATATTTGCGACTTGTGGCGTTCCAAATGATAAATTTCATGCTGTGTGCTCGTCTATCGATAAATTGGATAAGAATTTGTGGTCGGAAGTAAAACGAGAGATCGTTGAAGAGAAAGGTTTGAGTGAATCGAGCGCTGATAAGATTGGCACTTATGTGTCGCAATCTGGTGGAATAGAATTGATATATGAGTTAAAGAAAGATAACGAATTAATGAAACACGAATCTGCGGTAAATGGTCTTGAATCCATTGAATTGTTGTTCAAGTATTGTAAAATATTCCAAGTGACGGATAAAATAATTTTTGATCTTAGTCTTGCCAGAGGACTCGATTATTATACAGGTATAATTTTCGAAGCGATATTGACTGGTAAGTTTTCAATAAGATTTTCGCTTATTATTATCGAATGAATTTTGTTAAATCGATGAATGTTATCTATGATTCGTTTAAAAATCGTATTTTTTTTTTTTTTTTTTTTTTTTTTTTTTTTTTTTTTTTTTTTTTTTTCAATCTTTATTTCCAGGCGATGAAGTTGGCGTTGGTAGCGTCGCGGGCGGTGGCCGTTATGATAATTTGGTAGGAATGTTTGATAGTAAAAAGAAATCGATTCCTTGTGTCGGTTTGTCATTGGGCGTCGAACGTATTTTCAACGTTCTAGAGACGAAATTAAATCATGAAAGCGTGAAAACGCGAACCAATGAAGTTGAAGTATTTGTAGCAACTGCACAAAAAAATTTGTACGAAGAAAGAATGAAAATCTTGACAATCCTTTGGGATGCTGGAGTGAAAGCCGAACATTCTTACAAAAGAAACGTAAAATTGCTGGCGCAATTACATCACTGCGAAGAAAGTGGTATACCGCTGGTTATAATAATTGGTGAAGGAGAATTGGCGAAAGGAGAGGTTACATTAAGAGATGTTGTGTCTCGTGTAGAAGTTTCGATTCCGCGTGCACATTTAATCGATGAAATAAGGAAAAGATTATAGAAAATATATCACGACTTACTTTCGAATGAGTTTCTTAATTTATATAATAATTAAATGATATGATACCATCAATTGTTTGATTTTTTTTTAAAATATAGAATCACGATATTTTAACGATATTGCACGATATCTTCGTTTCAAGTTCAACGTATGAAATAATAAAAGAAAAAACAAAAAAAAAAAAGTGGAAAGCTTCTGTATAAACTAAATAATAATACATAATTTATTGTATTTAACGATCGAATTCGTATTATTTCAATAATCACCAACAATTAGTATATCTAATTTTCAAGTATTCTTTCGCGCAAAAACAATGTTTCGTGATAATTTAAGATTTACTTTTGCTTTTGTTACGTTTAAGTTAGAGGTAAGAAGATGAAACAGAAAAAAAAAACAAAAGCAAAAAAAAGATAACGTTTCTTGTGAAATTTTTACTTACGTCGATAATTTAACGAAGAAAGAATAGTCGATCTTATTACTTATTTTATATTTTTTTTTTTTCCTCAATTCAACTTAAATTATAGTTATATTAATTTATATATATTATTATTTATTTTTATAAAAGTGATATGCCGGTCAACAATCACGCGCGGTTAAAAATTTTTGTATAACGTAAATAAGTACTTTGTATCGTCATCGTATCCCTATAACGTATCTCGTATGTTGTTCGAAATTATCATTTTTTCACTTGAAAGAATGATGAAAGAGAATCGTAGAATTAATTACATCGAAAATGAACACGATTTGCGATTGTTCTATTATTGTCCGATTAATAAATCCGTTTTGAACGAAATGAACGAAAAGTCTGTGTCACGATTTATCGATAGGCAAGTGTGATTTGTGCTTCTCGGTTTTGAACTCTGCAAGAGAATCTAACGAATGATGCGAAGAAACATCGGGTGTAACTGTTTTAAACGGATCGGAAATGATATTTGTACTGGAATTTTCTATTTTTACTTCCACCAATGGTTCTTGTGATTCTGCGTCGATATTAGTAAATAAATTATATTGAGAAGTAGAATTATTAGTGAAAGAATCATTCGATGATACTTGTTTTTTTGTACTTATTCGGGCATCTTTACACAAAGTTGATTCTATTCGATCGCTTAAACGAGAATTAGATGTAGATTCGTTCGAACGATCATCGACATTCTCGATAGGAATTGTGTGTACGATGGAATGTGATTGTGGATCGATGATTCGTACGTTCTTTTCCTCGAGGCGAACAGAATTCGTAGAAATAATTTCTTGTGAAAGCGGTGAATATCGTTCCGAATTGGAAACCAAAGATGCGAATTGACCCGAATTTTCGATCGATGATGCAAATTCACCGGTTTTAGGATTTTTATAAATTGTATCGTGATTATTTTTTTTGTAAATAATATTAGATGATAAATGAAAAGGTTCGGCTCTTTCTCCGTGATCTTCGATGTGAACGTCGCTCAAACTGAACGCTCTGGCTCGACGTCGAAGATTCATTTGACCGATTTGTCGTTGCAATATACCAGCCTTCCAACGAGGTGCAACTTTTTGCGTAGAAACGATAGAAGTATTACCTCCTTTTAAATTAACGTTCGGATTTTGAGCTGGTCGTAACGAGAAACGACGATCGCTCAAGGTTGATTTGATCGGCGTTGAAAAACCTGGTGTTCTCTCTGTTAGAATAAGAGGCTCTTTAGGGGATTCGAACAAAAACGTTGATTTAGTTTTCTGAAAATAAAAAAAAAAATAAAATAAAAGACCGTTTTTAAAAAGTAAACGATAAATCGTTTCTCTCTCTCTTTCTCTCTCTCCCTCTCTCGAAATGAACTGACCGATAAGAATGGTGAGTCATTTTTCGGAGGCGTCGGTGGACTGACAGGTGTTGCTACAGGTCTCAAAGAAAATCGTCTCGATTTGGCAGCCATGGTAGGATGAGCAAACGCTAAACTACCTCTTCTCGATTCTCGTCTTGTTGTTTGAAACCAAGGTAGTTTATCTTCGTTCCAGTTTATATTAGATTCTTGCGTAATAGTGTTTTGATTACTTTGAGTGGTTGATACGGGTGGAGATGGTGAAAATAAGGTAAACAAGCTAGGAAGTTTCGGCGGTGTTAAAGAAGCGGTGCCTAATTTTCTTCGAGGTTGATCACGACGAATCTGATCTTCGTTCGTAGCAGAGGTCCAATTACCGTTGTTGACAGCAACGCTAGCGTGAAGAACGGTAAGGGCTCTCAAAAAATCGGCCAAACTGGTCTCTTCGAGTACATTATTATTAACATTGTTGTTGAAATTGTTAGCCGCGCCGGTATGCGTGTAATAATATCTTTGTGGATTTAAATTGGTTGGGATCGACTCTCGTCTATCATCGATCGACAAAGATCCTTGTCCGGCCAAGTCTTTACCGTTAATATTGCGATCGAATTCGGAGATTTTTTTTTCCGAACTTATCGAGAAACGATTTTTCCAAGGGCTGGACGAGATCAATGCTTTAGGAACGTTTTTTGTTAATGCAAAATTGCGAAGTTTAGAGAATTTGGTATCTTTAATGTCACGTTCTTTGCCCGATGATTCATTTACACGGGATTTCATCAATTCCTGAATCTTTCTAGCCGCTGTTGGTCCGGACCAAGTTCGTTCGATGTTTCGATCCTCGTTTTTCGTTTCTTGTATTCTAATCTCACTTGCTGCTCTCGAACGAGGTCTTACGAATCGCGGTATCTTTTCGTGCCCGATTGTCCAGATTCTAGATCCGGTATTGGACGCGTGAATCGATTCTCTTTCAAAAATCTCTTTATTTTCTTCGAGTTTGTCACTGTGATATCCGACTTGTTCCTGGCCAACGTAAGTTGTCTGATTTGAACCATCGGCTCCCATATCTTCGGTAGCTGGTGGTATATAACCAAGAATATTCACCAATCTTGCCAACAATTCTGCTGGTTGAACCATTGCATGAGTTGCGAATGTTGCTGTTTTATCGATTCTTTGAAGATCGGTTTCAGAAACGACGCGCGTTACTTGATTTTCCTATCGAATGATTCAAAAAAAATAATATTAATATATATATATATATATATATATTTAATTTATTAATAATTATTTAAAATTATTTATTTAAATTTGAAGAAAGAAGAAAGGAACGAGTAAAGAAAATATGAAGAATTGATTAATAAAATATTGAAATTTTGAGAGAATGAGAATATAAAAAAATTTCGATAATATTGATAAAAATCTTTCGCTATTATATTTGTATTGAATATTATCTTACATGGAACAATTGGAATTCGCGGAATGCAAAAATAAAATGTAAAACAATTATTGAACGATTGAAATTACGATAATCAAAGTTACGATGATAGAGCTGAGATATCAATCTCAGTTGAGTAGTCACCACAATATATTTGTAAAAAGAATAGATAAACGGCGATCGTATATTGACGCGTACATAGTCATAGGGTGTATACGTATAACAACGAGAAAGATTTTCATCGATATCTCGAAAAGTAATAAATATTTGTAATTAAAATTGTATACTCGGGATCTTAGCTCAAAAATTTGAATGTGAAAAAATTCATATCGTACCACAGCCGAATCGACCAACTTACCATTGGAACCACTTCGCTATTGGCGCGTCGTCGAGGTCTCTGATACATTTCATCTTTCTCTTTTGAGGCGTACAACAAATCTCGAAGATCGGGAAAACTGTTGCTACGACAAAATTTAGACGGTGGAATCTCGTAATTACATTCGTCAACGTATATTCTCTGAAAATCGATTATTGAAAAAACGTGAATATTAAATTGATAAATTGCATTTATACGTACACATGCGTGTAACAAGGATGCATTATATAGGAACGAATCGAGAAGCAAAATAAAGAATAGGAGAATTTGTTTTACCTTAACTTTAGATAATTGCAACTCGTTGAAAACACGGCGTAAATAATTTATTTCCTTATTGAATTCATTCCATATTTTACTTTGCGTGTGCTTCAAATTGATAGCTAATTTACGCTCTATTCTAGTAATCTTCTTACTTCGCATACCTCGCGTGATAAATGTCATGATCATGACGGTGTATCCCAGTCCAAAGGAAATCCAACAAATCAGAAAGATCTTGTATAATATAAAGAAAAATCCGCTACCCTTGCTATTGTCCTGCCCTATCGAATATATGTACATTCGATGCAAATAATGATAAAAAAAATGATCATTTCTCTTTCTCTTTCTCTCTGATAGATCATATAGGATAAAAGAATGTTTTCTCACCTGCCACGTAATCTCCAAAACCAATGGTGGTCAATGTGACGAAAGCGTAATAAACAGCTTCTTCGTAACTCCAACCCTCGTAATGAGAGAAAAGAAATGCTGGGAAAAAGATGAACATGACGAAACCTGGCAACAAGTGAGCAAATATTTGTGCAGCCAATCCAGCTTTTCTCGTTTCGAACGTTGTTAATTTTTTAGGATAATAATTGTCACGGCCATGCTTATAAGATTTATATTTTTCATGAGCTTTAACGAATACACGGCCAAAAAATTCTCCCAATTGTGTCAACAAAATTCCATTCATAGGTATGCCTATCAGACCATAAAATATCATCAGGATGCGACTGAGCCTGTTCGTTGGAGCCAAATTCCCGTAACCTACATGTATTATATCGTTAACCTACATGTTATATTCGATACACGATTAAACAATGAAAATTATAAATTTTTTGTTACAAGTCATACGTGATATAAATCATAAATCGTATGAAAGCGTAATAATTAGATTAACCGATATTTTAAAAATTTATTAGTACGTACGTACCTATTGTGCTGACGACGGTATAAGCGAAATAAAAACTATTATAAAAATCCCATTTAAGGGGATAATCGCCTTCGGTATAATTATAAACTGATTTTCCGCAGTATCGTGTCAAGTTCTCGAGAATTTCATCGTGATCGTGACTAAGATTCGGTACATAATGCGTGTGTAGCAAAGCTGAAAAAAACAACGTCGAGATATGAAAACTAATTAAGATAATTTGTAACGCGGTTAAAAATTGCGAATTTATCACAAGAATTTTGTTATAATTTTGTATAATGAATTTTATTTTCGGATCACGATTCGTATTTAAAAGACATCGATTCTTTCTTATATATATATATATAAGATTGAGACTCCTTCGAGAACGAGCTCTTTCGGAAGTCTGCATAATACTCTTCGTTCAAATTCAAACTATATATTATTCCCGGGAAAATGTTATCTTATCGTTTCGGTTTATTCGTTTATCGTTTATGCTCTCCGTTCGCTTCGAACTAGTCGTACCGTGGAAACAAGTCACGTCGATACTGTTCAACAAAGAATATATCGGATAAAAAGTTGGCGCGAAGGTAAAGATCTTGATTAATTCTTCAAATTCGATTTAAATATAATATAATATTTCGTGCAATTTCTCTATTTCAATTCGATATGAACATGTATTTTCGATAAAATATATATCGTATTATACGTTCGATCAAAGATTTTACTTTGATCTTTGTCATCCTTTCTTTACAACGAAGGTAAAAATCTATTCGATCATCGCACATGTGTACATATGTATATGTAATTATACTACTTTAATTAAAAAATACTATCAATTTCAACGATTAATACTAATAATAGCGTTTGGTGATACCGAGTTGATGAAGTGCAAAAAAATAATTGATCTTGTGACAATTCTCAATATTGAAATAATAGTTTAGAAATGTTTACGAAGTAATCAATGTTTATGAGAGGAACCGATAAATTTGCTGAACAATTTAACAGGGAGTGGTCTTAGTCCACATAATTTCGCATACAATTCGTTTCGTAACTTGATATCGAAAAAACCGATTCAATGAATTTATTCTCTATCACGATTGTTCATTGTTGTTTAATGTAGAGAGAGAGAGAGAGAGAGAGAGAGAGAGAGAGAGAGAGAGAGAGAGAGAGAGAAAGAGAGAAAGAAAGAAAAATACGAAATCTTTTTTTATACTTATTTAAATAAACATTAGGTGAAAGAGTTATAATAGATCATAGATTATATGTATATTTATTGGTATTCGCATCGATTTTACTATATTTGAATGGTGATTCGTCCGTAGATCGCTATATGTGTATATCGAATACATGCGTACATATATCGAATCGAACATTTTTTTGGGCTGCATTTTACAAATTTCAGATGTTGTTTGTTGTTATGGATGTTGTTTGTTGTTTAATTATCACGATCCATTATGCTCACCGTTAATTTTGATGCGTTCATGTTTGTCTTTTTCAATGCGGTCGATCTCTAAGCGGCTCTCGATATGGTAGAAAATGGAAGCACCTAGTAACAAGTATGTCAAGAACAGCATCAACAGGACCAACCATTGCTTCTTCGACATTCTTTAACTGATCGTGTTTGAAATGGGATAAGAATGAGTGTCAGGAACAACAACGAAAAATCTCTAATAAAATAACGATGCAAATTTTCGTTCCAGTTTCATAAATTTCTTCCTTCCGTTTCAAACATTGTCTCTATTATTTGATAATTACGATGCTGCTTTGTTTGAAAGACAATTCTTAATAATTATACAATAGAACGACCGATTCGCGGATTGTTGTCGCGATTCTTACTACCACTGCACTAAAAACAGATTATGGACGGTCAAGCAGACTACGACATTATCGCGTGATAACTCTTTAGACTCTGATTTCGCGACCTTCAAAAGTCACCTTCTTCTCCCTCGATGACGACTCTGTTAGATATCCGATACGATTTTAAGTGGCAACAACTAACCATTTTATCGATAGGTAATGCGATTATTTTTTCATTTTTCTTTCAAATTTATTCTGTTCCTTCGAATCAGCGAATACCCTGAAACAAGAATATCAAATGATGTAATTATTAGAATATACTTGTATAACTGTTCTATGGAAAATATAAAAGATTTACCTGCTTAATCTGAAATATCGAAATTTTCACAATTTATTTCGAAATCGACATCCACTTCTGCGACGCTTCTTTCTTATTTACGAAAGCGATCAACCGAAACGCAAAAAACGAATTTATAGAATGATAAAAGTAATGTTGCGTTGATACGTAAAAGAAAAAAAAACTCCAGTTGTACGAAAGATTTCTTCCGTTCAATAAGACGAATATTCTTCGAATTCGGAATAAGAATGAGAAGAAAAAAAAAAAGAAAGAAGACGCGAGCGAATTTAAATTCTTACCAGTCGCAAGAATGATGATTCTAACGAAACAAAAGATTCAAGAAACAAAGTAACTTAAACTGTCCAAAGTGGTAGTCGTTAAACCGAATATTTTCTTGAATGTAGGAAACGCATTGTTTGAGAATACTGATCGATGGTTGCAATTGGACTTAGGGACGTTTACCGTGCGACTACAATTTTCACAGTTACCGCGTAGTTGGCGACAAAAATGTTCCCTTCAACGATACTCTTTACGTAACTTCCACAATGTACTTTGTATAACGTAATATATATCCCGCTAGTTGAAAGATCGATGGAAAAAATCGATCAAACGCATGATTTATCGCGCAAAGAATACATATATTTTTTCTACCTATTACGTTTTTAACATGGTTTGTTATTTACTTCCTGGTAGTCTATTCCTTTTTTTTTTTTTCATTTTTACGCGTAATATTTACTGGCCTGTAACATCTATATTTGACTATATATTTTCTCAAAGCAAAAAGAAGAAAAAAATAAGAGATAGAATTAAAAAAAATTTTTTTTTCAAATTTTCAATTATTCATTCGCGCGAAAAAATTTGTGAAATAGATGCTACATGTTAATATATCTGATATTATTTTATATAAATTTCATCGTTTATATATGAGAATGCAAGAACTTATCTTCGTTATACATTGAAACAACGCTAAACCAGATATCGAGTAAACATCGATTAACGTGTAAAAACGAGAACGAAATATTTTCGATAATAATAAACCATAGAAAATTAAACGATATAATTATGTTCGATAACGATATAATTTTGATTGCAATTGAAATAAAGAAACACAATCATCTTTCGTTTGATTTCCAATATAATGAAAGTACGCACCTTAATGATGAAGTAGAATATGTATAATGTATCACGACAGTTGTGATCTCGAGAGTACAAACACGTTTTAATACTGATAACTGCTACGTTAAAAACGTCTCTCGACTATATCCTCGTTCATCCCTTGCCTTTCCCTCATAGTTTGCACTTCTAATTAACTTTCTGTTTTTGAAATTTCCACTATTCCTATTATTATCTATCGATATCCTTGTACAAGTGTATATTTCTTCCTATAAACTTCGATTTTTTAACGTAATTATAATATAATATAATTTATAATTTCCAAAATGAACAGGCTATTCGTGCTAGTTTAAATTTTCGTATCTAATTCAAAATTATTGGAAATTATTCATCGCTGCTTATCGCAATTAAAAATTTGCAATCTTTACAAATAAAAAACATAAAAAAATTTTGAACAACGTTCAAATATTACATATTAGTCTATTCTTTCACCCTTCTTTTTTACCTCTCCTTCATCTTCTTCATCTTTTTAAATTATATAAAATTTAACCGCGATTTCAAGATTATACGTATATATATATATATATATATATATATATATATATACCTGCAAAAAGCATTTCTTCTTCGATGATTTTTTGACTTTCTAGTTTTTACGCAATTTGCTAATATTTTTTTATCATATTGTCGATAAATAACGTAAAAATTAATATAAGTTAGATTACGCTTTATCTAATTAATATCTGTGAATAAGAATACTTTATATTTGTATGAAATAAGTTAATTATTACCTTATAATAGTAAAAAGAAATTAAACGATCCATCCCCTCGTGATTTATAGTTAACACTTATCGAACAATAATGATAAAATCATTTTTTCAACAAACCACCGATATTTATATGTTTTACCCGTTATAACGCAACTTGGTCGAATAACGCACATTCTAAAATTTTTCTTTAAATGAAAGACAGAAGAACGGTCACTTCGTTGATCAGTCAATCACGTGCTCGAACTACTTTCGGAAGTAAACGACTTTAAACGATCCCTTGCTCAAACGTATGTCGTAAGAATGTTAAACGCCAAGGTCCACAACTTTATGTAAAGAAGAAAAAAATTAGATTCGTAAAATCAGTTAAAAAAATCATTCTTTTATCTTATCGCAATAATTCTAAAACTTAAATTAAAATTGTTTAAGAAAAACTAGAACAAAATTACTGAAAATATTTCGAAAGAATACTTCGGAAGAAACAAGCAGAAATATGATTAAATAAATGAAAAAGATAAAAAATGGAACAGTGATATAGTGGGATGGTAGAAACGATGAGAGAGAGAGAGAGAGAGAGAGAGAGAGAGAGAGAGAGAGAGAGAGAATTGAATCTATTACGCGATTCGCAATGTCGCGTCTTAACTGAAATTCTGATTCAACGTTCATATGTAACTGGTACAAAAATCATCTCTCTTCGATTCCAAACTTGAACACGTTAATATAGTTATTTGGTTAGTAAACTCGTGCTAATAACAATTGATGTTCTTCTCAACCGTACAACTGTTTGAAGATAATTTACACATCTTGTAAAGTTTCCTTCTATTTAACGAAATATACGATCAAGTTCTTGTTTAATTTTATCGCAAATTTTTTATATTGTGACAATTCATATGTAGCACATTGTGTTTACAATGCATATGTATTTATGATATATTGATTTACAATGCATATATTTATGAAATGTTAATGATATTATAGGAAATTCAACGTGATTAATTATATTTCAAAATTATAGAAAAAAAAATGAAAATATTTTTGTATTTTGTAATTTTCTGAAGCTATATATAATATAATGTACTATCGCAAATTTATTGTATATATGAGATTTCTATAATTTTATATATTTGTTGTTCGAAATATAATATATAATTATGTGGAAGAAACAAAAAGTGATAAAAAAAATTAATGTGCATCGTATATACATATAAATAATTAATCTTGCAATGAGTTGAAAAATGAAAAACGTGAGTAGAAAATCCACAGATAGAAATAAAAGAAATAGAAATAATATGAAAAGGGAAATTTTTGAGAGAGCTTTTCTGCTATCGCAACGATCATGATTAAAAATCCTGTTTATTTATATATATATATATATATATATAATGATCAGTTGTATTTTCGCGACGATACATTTTTTTCATTAAATAACGAATGAATAAAACTTTTTTTTTTTTTTTTACAGCGAAAAAAACGAAACGCTTCATCAATGACCATTCCCAATAATTTAATAAGCCTAAATTATCTTTACTTCTCGATGTTGAAAATTGATAGGACAGTGAATTACAATATGTATATAATATAAAAAAAAAAAAAACAACGGACAAAATTGTCAAAATAGACAAAAGAATATAATAAATGATTTATGTTTTCAATTAATATTCATTGAATATACTTCATTTTGAAGTAATCAATGCCATCCAAGTTCTATATCTTCAATTTTTATATTTAATTCTTCGAAAGAAGTATCAATACCATGCTCGTCGAATTCACCATTTAGTTCGATCTTCTGTAAATATATAAGATACAACAAATATTATCAGATATATTGCTATTGGATTTAACGAGATAAAACAAATTGAAATAAGGAAAAAAAGAAGAAAAAAAAATAAAAAATATATATATATATATATATAAAGATAACAAACCTGTAGCGCTGCGATATGCGAAGGATCACCGACTAATAAAATCTGCGTTTCATTATCGTTTAAATCGTCGATCGCTTTAGAAATCTGTATTTGCCCATCTTTTTCTGTAATCTTCGGTTATATATGGAAAAAAAGGAACATTTTTTTAAAATTATTCTCAAAATGTATTCGAAATGCAAAATGTCTTCCAAGTTACCTTTAACGATGAATTACCATTATCTCGTATAATGTTTCTTTTTTGTTTATCTTTGCTTCGACTAGATGATTCTTGAATAGAATTTTTACAAAGAGCATCAACGTTATCATCGTTGTCTATTAACGCATGAGCAGTTCTTTTGTGCATTACAAGAGTACTACTTTGTCTATATCTCCTAAAACAAACTTTACATTCGAACGGACGTTGTTGTGTATGAACCTAAAAAGAAAAGAAATGTATTGAAACGAGTTAAAAATCAATCGTCATCGGCAATTGCAAATAATGATAAAATTACTAACGAGGTGATGTTTATAAAGACTAGAATATTCTGTAAATCTTCTTCCACAATTTTCAATAGAGCATACATATGGTTTTTCACCTGAATGAATTCGTATATGATTTTTATAATTTGTTGCGCTCGCGAATGCTTTGCCACATTTGGGTTGTGTACATTTATACGGACGTTCGCCGGTGTGCGTTCTCACGTGAACCTGGTATATATACAGAATATAATTTCTTCTATTAACTGTTATTTTATTTATTTGTTTGTTTATTTTTTCGAATAAAATTATATTATTTTAAAGTTTTCTCTTACTTTCCGAATATTACTCGTAGTAAAAGAACGACCGCAACCATTGAATGGACATAAGAAAGGGCGTTCTCCAGTATGTGTTCGTACATGTTTTAATAAATCTCCGGATGTTTTAAAACTTTTATCGCATGTTTCATTTGGACATTTGTAAGGTTTTTCCCCTGTATGCGTGCGTAAATGCGCTTTTAAACTATATCCTGTCGAGAAACTCTTCTTACATTTTGGATGCGTACATCTGTATGGTCGTTGACCAGTATGAGATCGTTCGTGAACCTGGTTTAATGATAATATTATTTTACTATAAGATAAAAAGATATCGTTTCATAATTTTTAATAAACCGACATAATTAAATTTTTAAGATATAGATATATATATATATATACACACGCACGTTATATTATACATATTATCATTATTTAAGTTTCCAAATATGCTTATAAAATATGATTAAAAATATTTTCCACTTACATTTATCAATGTGAATAACATTGAACAGGTAATGCTAATTGTGAACGGACTTGAATTGATTTTCAATTTGTAATCGATATCAGAAACGATTTTTACCTTGAGATGATGGGGCGTACTGTAAACTTTTGAACAACCCTCTCTTGGACAAGGATGTCTTATCCTCGATGTGGATAATTTATTTAATAAAATTTTCGAATCCTTTTTCTTCAATTTACCATCTTCGATTTCCCACAAATCATTACTAACATCGATGTGACCAGCTACCATATAAGCATTACCATCGATAAATTCCACACGTGGATAGTTTTCAACGTTCTCTATGGTAGTTTGATGAGCTTGAACCAAAGTTGCTGGTTCCAATTCCAATTGAAGTGGTTTACCTTCAGTAAGTTCTGCTACATTGCGAAGCAATATAGTATCTCCATTTTCCAATTCTAATGTTGCTTGCCTTTTTAAATCCATATCTAAATCGAATGTAGAATGATGCGGATAATAAGTTTGCAGAAATTATAAAGAAAGTTATAGTACTTGACTAACTTTACATACTAAAACGTTTAAATATTATTCTATATGTATTTGAATGTTTTGCTATTGATACAAATAACTAAATTTTTTATAGTCCTTTTGCGTTGAATTATTAATTTCTAACCATTATCGTTGAAATTATTGGCAACGAATGCTTGCGTTCCATCGGGTAATGTTACTGCTGTCAACGTTGTGCCATCACTTAATAGATGTTCATCCAATGTTAATCCTTCTGTTTGATCATTTGCAGAGTTATTCTCGTTAATTAAAACGGATAGACATTCCAATATATCCATACGATTATTCTGCAAAATAAAATAATTAATGACAAAGGATAAGCTTGTGAAATAAAATGAATTGTACCGTTTCAATTGAACGAATCGTTGAATAAAATAAAATGGTATTTTTACCTGTGTCTCATCCGACATAATTTCCACATCTCGAGTCACGAAACGATTTGAAAGTTCTGCACCTTGTGTCGACATATTTCTCTATAAATCCAGAGCTGCGAACAAACAACGTTTCGCGATGATCGCCGATGATCCACGTCATTATTTTGTGTCTTAGTTTCGTGTCCGCAGGTAAGCATCTGTCTCAAAACAGGGGTCATCAGCAACTTGCTTGCGATGCATTGAAGATTCGCGTGTATTGTACCAAGTTATCTTTACCGACGAAAGTGAATACTTGCACGAATTTTTTTGAAGTATAAACATTTAGAAGAGATATCACGTGCAATCAGGAACATCCACCAATTGATTACATTGAATATCCGCGTAATGATTTTAACACAAATAACGCGCAAAGCATTATATTAATATTTGCTGTATCGGTAATTATATGTAGTCATCAATGATATTTAAAATTGATATTAATTATTATATTTACAAAGACGGTTACAATGATGACAATCGCGATCACCATGATCGTGGTGAAATGAAAAGTATATAAGATGCATATACGAGCAATGTGCCATTTGTTAATCGAAATAAATATAAATTATAAAACAAAATTTCAATTATTTACGATAATGTATGATAAAGTAACATCGAATAAAATTCGAACGTCTTTTGTTTCTCTCTCCTATTTTCTTTATCTTTCTTCCTCGTATAGCAAATTCAACTTTCGGTGTTTCGCGCAGCCTCGCAATTTGATACCAAAGAATCTTGGGAAATATTACCCATAAACTCGTATACCCGCGAAATCCCTTGATGGGTAGTATATGTTAAACAAGATAAAGATAATATTTAATACATTATATTAACCTAGCAATTTTACGCACCGATAGATATGCGGTTTCAACGATCATATACTTTTTCTTCGAGGCTACATCGTGTTAAACCAAGAGACGTAATCGATAACCTTCTGCAAATTATAGTTATATGTTTCTAAGATTTTAATGCAGTTACATAGCATGAGCTTGGGGGGAATTTTCAGCTCTTATATTCGGTCTGTTCATTCACAATTTCGGCATCTTTCATCAATATATCATTCTGAGAAACAATACTAGATAGAGAATATACATCCTTTAACCGTGCAACGACTCGTTTTTGAACGACCTCCATTACTTACTTAATCTTACTCTCTATTGGACATTTCTATTGTAACTATGTATTCATATAAAAAAGATTATATAAACGTTATTCATTTTTTACTTCTTACAAAAGTATATTGCTAAATTTATGAATTTTATAAGTATATTTATTATATGAATATATAATTAAGAGAATCACATATAAAAATTTTTTAAGAATATTCTACATTTAAGTACATTACGCATGAATATGCATACACGAATATACATGTGAATATATTCGTGTAGATGGCACATATGTCATTCTAAGGTGTAACCAAGTACTGGCTGAAATGTCTATGTGTGTTTTCATAACCCATATTATTAATTATAAACAGGTCAAAAAATTGGACCAATATTAAAGATCAAAATTATTAATTTTGTTCATTTTTATCTGTTAATTATTATTAAAAGTTATAAATAAAATATTAAAATCTGTCTTTCATCTATACATAAAGTTATAAGGAAATTTTGTTGAAGAATATCTATATAAAATAATAGTTGCATGTAAAAATAATACGTTACTAATAAATTAAATGCAAAAATTAATTTGTATCGAGCGATCTGAGATTTTTCATTGAAAAATTTCACTACTTTCGCTTCGTACAAAATGAGAAAATTCGATACAGATAGATTCGTTGATTCATATCAACATGAAATAATGTACATATATGTTCGTGTTTAATGAACGTATTAATATGTGGTTGTTGATCGACGCTGGATTCCACTAATTCAGCGTCCAATGTATTTATTGAATAAAATGATTATATTGCGAAAAGGTAATTAATAATAAATAATAGATAAAATTTTTATATTGCATTTTACAATTTTATAATTTTATAATGTGTTTTTTTGTATTAATTTAAATTATGATTAATTATGATTAATTATTTAATTAATGAATTTAGGCTTAGAATGCAACAGAACCGATCGATAGATGTTTCACTTTGGACAACAAAGCCAATTTTAAAATTTAAAGATAGAAGGAATTTTAACAGATCACTCAAAATGTTTGTATCAAGGACACAAACATCGAACAGTACTTTTTATACTGAATTGGAACCTGATGAAGTAATAGATAGAAAAACTGATCTAAACGAGTTAAAAGAATGCCAGGATAAAGATTACAACCATTCTGATATAATACCGGAAAGTGAGAAACAGGAAAATTATGATGGACATTCATTTCGAAAAATTGCTTCTTTTGGAGGTTTTCCACGATTTCGATCGTTTATAATGTCGACCGAAAATTCAATGGATCAAGGTGATACTCAAGAAGAAGAAGAAAATTCGATGGAAGTCCCATTCGTACGAATATCGCGCAATGTTTTGGAATATAGGAATAGTAGGTATGTTAATCAACTAGGAACGATTGTAATTTATTTTACGAAAACATTTTTTTAACAAAATTTCTTCTTTGCGTAGATATTTAACTACGGATAGAAATTCTCATCGATATGCAGTGGAATCATTCGCGATAAGCGAATCCGAAAGTGAAGAAGAATCGGAAGGAGCAAAATCATCGGAAACAGATACCGCAATAGTCGTGAATCATAATACTGATGACTCGATTCTAGAATTAAAATCAGTTGGTAATACAAGTTATTTGGATTCCAAAAGGAAAAACGCACGTCGAGTTGCTGAAGAATTGTTGGTTACTGAAAAAAATTATGTTAACGTTTTACGATTGATCGATCAAGTATTTCAATTCAAAATCGATCAAGAGAATAGAGCACATCCTATGTTTCCTCCAGAGACTGTTCAACATATGTTCTCTAATATTAAGTCGATATATAAATTTCACAATGATTTCTTGTTACCTCAACTTCAAGAGAGAATGCAAAATTGGGATTCAAATCCTAGAATCGGAGACATAATGAAAAATTTTGCGCCTTTTCTTAAAATGTACACAGAATATGTAAAAAATTTTGATTATGCCATGAATTTGATACAGTCTCTTCAAACTAAAGTCACCAGATTTGCTGCGATTATCGATGAGATTCAAAAATTAGATGAGTGTGCCAAATTATCATTGCCTCATCACATGTTGAGCCCTATACAAAGATTACCAAGATACGAGCTTCTTCTAAAAGATTATTTGAGAAACCTCACAGAAGAAAATGCTGATTACAAGGATACTAAAAGTAAGGATCTTTCGAGTTCCATTCGATTCGATGAATTACTTCCGCATAAAATAATCAAAATGCATCTAGCAAGGACTTGCTTCTATTTAAACGTCTATTGAACGGGGCACGTTTAAATAGACGTCCGTAGATGGCGACGATTATAATCGTAAAATCAAACGAACAGACATGGCTTTCTTTCTCGTAGAGGCATTGGAATTAGTGTCTACTGCTGCTAATCACACGAATGATGCAATGAAGAAGATTGACAAGTTCAAAAAACTTCTTGAAATACAAGAGAGTATATACGATACAACGGATCTAGTCAGTGTTACGAGGGAGCTTATAAAAGAGGGTCGTATCGTTAAAATTTCAGCAAGGAGCGGTGATCATCAAGAAAGACAATTGTTTCTGGTACGTACAAAATATTATTGTACTTAATATATACACAATTTAAATATATCGTGTACACGTGATCATTTATTCATATAATATATAAATTTAATTTATTATATATAAATTTTTATCGATGATGATATCCATTTATAATTAATATTACGTTTAGTTAAATGATGGAAATAATGATTCTTTTTTTCTATTTTTCAGTTTAGCGATTTATTATTACTTTGTTCAATAAGATTAATACCTGGGCCATTATATCGATTGAGAGCTAAATTTCTAATCGAAAATTTGCAAATAATCGAAGGTGATAATTTAGAAACAGCAAATACATTTTACATAAGAGACGAAGATAAAAGCGTCGAATTATATACACATGCGGCCGAAGAAAAAGCAGCATGGCTTAATGCTCTGTTCGATACTATGCAAGAAATGATGAGAAGAAAAGCAAGTTTAAAAACTAGTGATGTTAAAACACTTGTTTTAAAGAGCGACGATATATCCAAGTGTATGATATGCGAGGTGATTTTTTCTGTGATGAAACGGAAACATAATTGCAGAGCTTGCGGAATAGTGAGTAATTTTCCTCGATAATATATATCCTAATCAATTGAAATGGAAAAAGAAAAGTGTTATCAATGATAAACTTATATATTTATCGTTTTTCTTTTTTTTTTTTTTTTTTTTTTTNTTTTTTTTTTTTTTTTTTTTTTTTTTATTATCATTTAATGTATAATATTTTATTTGCTATATAGATTGTTTGCGGTAAATGTTCAAATCAAAAGTTATTGTTCGAGGATAATAAGAATATGAGAGTTTGCCGTTTATGTTATACCGCTTTAACGCAACCGCTTGTTAAATCACCTTCTTCAACATCTACATCTGGACCGGTACCAAGTTTATTACAAGTTTCAGCAAGCGCATCTTCCGTTATATCTGGATATCTTATGTTAAAAACTCAAGCGAGTAAACCTTGGACACGGCGGTGGTTTGCATTACATGCCGATTTTGTTTTGTATACATTTAAATCTGAATCTGAAAATATGGCTTTGACAGCAACTCCTATGCCTGGTTTTATTGTTACGGAAGGTATTAAATTATCTGACGAAGATCCTTTAAGTTTCAAGGATAGATCTAGAGCTCTTAAAATGCATCATTCTAGGAAAAGTTACTATTTACAAGCGTTATCGGACGAAGACAAACAAAAGTAAGTTTCATATGTTTCTCGTACATGCGCGTATATACGTGTATATATATATATATATTATGTTACATATTATAAAATTTAAATCAAATTTTCAGATGGTTCTATGCTTTACAATTAGCTACTAAAGCAGAATTACCTTCATTTGTAACAGTAGAAAACGAAGACGCACACAAAGATCAATCAATTGTTCAAATGCGATAAATTATTGTCGATCTTAAGTTAATCTTTTACTGCCGTTATCATCCGTAAGATCGCAAAACGATAAAGTAATCTAATTAGTAGATAATTATTATATGGAAATGATGTTAACTTATGTTATATAGATACATGCATAAAAAAAACTTGTTGTTGGTGTATTGTGGTCGATTTAATGATGATCATATTGCCAAAACGCTTGTTGTATTTTGTACCACTTTGTTATAATATATTTAAAAATATATAAGTATATATATTTATATTCGATATGATTAACTCGGACATTGCACCTATGTATAATATACAAATTTTATTTCAATGATATATATTTATGAAATACATATTTATTAGATTTTATTAGGTAATAAACAAAAATTAATTTTTGTATATATTATATCATAATTTTGTACATTTCAATTATAATATATTATCGAATTATCTAATATTTCATATATTATAATCGTTTTATGACAATTAATAGAGAATTAAATAAGAATATGACATGAAAAAAGAATTTTACCATTTCAAACTAATGTTTACGCACAAAGAATATTTTCTCTAATATCTTCTTGTAATTCAACAGTATTTGAACGATAAATTCAAATTCATTAAACTCGATAGAAATCAAATGTAATCAATCAAATCAAATGATTGAAAAAATATCTTTTTTCAGTGCTATTTGTACTATAAATAATTTGTCTTTGATTTAATATTGGTTGAAAAATTTAATTCGTTGCACGATATAAATTTTGCAATACTTCAATAAAAAAATTATAAATTAACAAACAAGATATAAAACGATTATTAAATATTAAATGGTAG